TGTGAGCTGGGAAGCTGGTCCCAGAAGATTTCACTTATAGTGCTAAGTACGGTTCCTCTTCCTGTACCCCGGTCATAGCATCCGCGACAATCACTCCAGGCCTGGTGTACCATGTGATCACCCAGCAGGGCAGATGGGCGCCTCATTGCAAAGCCACAGTGTATCCACGAAAAACGCCACACTCGTCTGGCCTTGACCTTGTCTGTTTTCTGTTCTACCCGTCACTACCCAGGCAAGGGAAGGAGAACTCCCCTGCAGACCCGCACTTTCACACCCAGTGCGACTTAAAGCACCATTTAGCCATATGAATTTCCATGCAGGTTTTGTGTGGTGGGGAGAAATGGGTAATGCTCAGTGCAGCTCCTGCATCTCAAAGAGATTGTTTCAGGCTCTCGGCAGATACCGGCAGCCATTGGTTCGCGGTCTGCCTGTCTCTGCTAGATTAAAGAGCCCATTAGTACCTGGTATTTTCTCCCTGTGAAGGTGCTTATACATGGTAATCATGCCACCTCTTCTTTTGGATAAGTTTCACAACCATAAAGGCTGGAGCGTAACATTTTCTTAAAATGAGATCTTAGATTCTGGAGCTGAACAAGGCTGGCACCAGGGAAAGTCTAAGGGGCCATGAGCCAGTTCAGCCCAACCCCCACGGATGTGTTCTGTGTACGTAACTTCTAGATTTCAGAAACAACGGGGAGGGGGTGGAGAATGAGGATTTGATTGCAGGCACTTATCACTCTTCTATTTCCATAGGATCCAGGCATTTCTCAAAGTTTAATGTACTTCTCCTCACAGGGCCCCTGTTTGATAGGACAGGGCTGTTACTGACACTGTACAAATGGGGAAACTGAGGTATGGGGGTTTCGTGGTCGAGCAGCGAATTAAGTCAGCACTCTGGAGTCCCATACTCAGGCCCTAACCCCCTCTCCTGTTTGGATGTTTGTTTCCCTCTCAGGTGACAGTGAAATGGAAAGGCTCCTCATCGTTCAGCCAGGGGAGGACATCATTCTGAATTGCTCCTTCCAGTCCGAGTTAAACCACCAGCCACTGAACATCACCTGGAAGAAGGAAGAAGAGGAGGGACCACATCTCTTGGTTCACAGATACTGCTCTGAGCTGGACCCACTGAAAACACAGGATGAGGCTTACCGGGGCCGGACCCAGCTGTATCCGGAGAGATTCCGCGAGGGAAACGCGTCCCTGAGACTCAAGAACGTCCAGCTGGCGGACGACGGGATCTACACCTGCCACGTCAAGCCCCAACTGGGCAGGTTTTCCGTGCGGATGAGAGTGACCGTGGAGAAGGGTAGGGCTCCTCTCACACGGCACCGCACAAGTCCCAGGGTCTGGGCAGCTGGGCTGCTAGAAACTGCTCCACGCGGCGGGGAGTGGAGCTCTGTGCAGGGGAGCGGGGGGTCTAGGCGATAACCAGCGAGGTGGGAGGTGTGGTTTGGTGATGGCAAATGGGAAGGGGATTCTAGGACTGGAAGGGATCTCGAGAGGTCATCGAGTCCAGTCCCCTGCTCGCATGGCCGGACCAAATACTGTCTAGACTTTTTATTTTTTTTTGTTTGGTTGGTACCTCAGCTACTGTTGAGCCATCATTAATTTCACACATACACACGCCCTTCATTTGTTAATTAATGCACATACTTTCTCTCTAATGCTACTTTCCCCCTTGACAAACTTTTAAAGGTTCATCTTAACCCCTGTAGCATCAGCTCATTTATGTTAGTGGTGAAAGATGAAGTTACAACACATAATCTGGACATTTCTTTCACGATGAATTAGAAAGAGCTCCAAAAATATCATGCCCAAGAATAATCTAGAGATCATGAAGCCACTGTGCTGGCCCCGTGTTTGATGGAAACCACTTCAAACCAGGGGGTGCTGTACCCCTAGTTCCAGCACCTATTATTTATTTTAAAAAAAAACTGTTATAAAACCCTAGACCAGTGGTTCTCAAACTCGTTCCGCCGCTTGTGCAGGAAAAGCCCCTGGTGGGCCGGGCCGGTTTGTTTACCTGCCACGTCCGCAGGTTCGGCCGATCGCGGCTCCCACTGGCCGCGGTTCGCTGCTCCAGGCCAACGGGAGCTGCTGGAAGCGGCGCGGGCTGAGGGACCTACTAGCCACTGCTTCTAGCAGCTCCCATTGGCCTGGAGCAGCGAACCGCGGCCACTGGGAGCCGCGATCGGCCGAACCTGCGGACGCGGCAGGTAAATAAAACAGCCCACAGCCCCATGGGCTCTTCCTGCATAATCGGCGGCTTCCCATTTAGAAACACTGGGCC